TGGCAGCTCTCGCCTAGCTGTTGAAAATTACTTTTGCCCACTCCCCCCCCCCCCCCTTTACATCTTTGTAGAACATCTTATTCTGAGAATTGACTTATTCTCGCCCTTTGTTCCCACACTTTTCTTAGGAAAAGAATTTTTAAAAGAATGCCCCTCTGCTCCCCCAGTCTTCTTCCCCCCCAAAAAAATAAAAAAGAATTTAACATTTCCTGTCACACACGTTCATGTGCTTATGACCACACACAATTAGTCTCCTGAACAATAGAGAGGGTGAAGCAGGAGAAAAGTATCTGTAACTTCTCATCATGTTGAGTCTATGGGATATACTACACAGTGGAATGCTCTATTAAGGTTAAAAAACCTTTCCCTCCTCTGCTGGATGTGTAAACTGCCCACATCAGTCATTTTAGTGAATAAAAGAATAAAGATTAGAAAATAGGATAGTTGCAAATTTGAGCACTCAAAGTGCCAGTGCCATGGACAGGCACGGCATCACTTGTATTATTACAGTAATTTTTATATTACTAGCATTTGAGGATTCTATTACCTGGCAGCTGAGGGTTGCTTTGACAGCTTGCTCACAGACAGGCAAGACAGGAAGAGGGCATAATTCTTTCAAGAACAGACAGATATTTACTCGTGTATTTGCACATACATGTGTGACCTGCCATATAAGACTCAGCCTTACTACATAGCAGATATGGTATATCTAGCACAAGTGATTAAATATAGAGCTTTCAGTAGGAATTTTTGCAGCTCATTTTTGTCTTTACCCATCTTTTGAAATAAGGTAATATTTTATGATGGTGTGTGCATTTTTTAAAACATTGCCTGATTATGTTAACTTGCTCTCGTTGTCTTGCAAACTCTGATTCTGGGCATCTATTTAATTCTGAAGGTTGTTTTAGTTGTGCACACTGATCTTGTTGCCCCAAGGGTGGTGGCACGGAGTGTGGTGCTTTCTATCTAAGGTAGTCAAATAACAGCCTGGGAGGGTCAGCAATGCACTTTTCGAGCTTCCAGCCCAGGAGTTAGAAACCGCTGGCCCGTAAGACAGAAGAAGTCCCAGTGTTTGTTCCACTTATGTATTTCCTCCAAAGGATTCCACCCAGCACCTTCTGAGGTGCTCAGCAGATGGTTAAGAAGTATTATTAATGGTGAGCAATAGACCTGCAGTTCTCTCCTTTGTCCTTGCCTGCCTCCAAGGTGCAAGGAGAGCTGCGGCCACACACAGCATGGAGTTCCTGTAACACAGCCTTCCTGGCAGAGGTAGATTTCCCAGGATCCAATGCAGCTCAGCTTTTAGAACCCTTCAGTTTTGTGGGCCTCTTTTAAGGGGGTTGTACTTATTTTATGTTCAAAAGTTTGTATTATTTTTGTAAAGAGGAAACCCATAAACTGGGTAGTCTGCAGGCTGGGTTTTATTCTTGTCCATGTGAGGGAATGCTGGAAGAAAAATAAGGCAACTTACAGTCTACAACATTAATTCTTCTAATAAATCACAATTGTAAGAGATCTCAGTCCCTACACAGCATCGTTTTCTTCATTTGCCTGCCAGTGCAGTTTCGGTGGATGAATAAAATTCCAGTGTGTTCAAGCAAGGTTCCGAGATTCTTTGAGTCTAACTCTCAGTGTTGTTTCCAGTGTTAACCCTCTCCATGTCTCTGTGCAGCCACTCTGCATAGCTTTCCCTGTTCGGTGCTAAGGCAAGCAACATGTCACCTTCGGGAGTGTGTATTTAAACCCATAGCCAGGAGATAGTAATCGTTCTAGTGCCTTCCCTTCTCCCATCAAAATGTACACTGCGCACTCGTGGCCTGGCATGATTCTGCCCTTCTTTGCAACTCAGCCTACTGCATTGATTATTACTCCTATAAAATCCTCCTGAATTCCCCAGACTGCAGGCGTCAGAGGCTCCCAAACTGATTCTGCCTCAGGTACCCATGCCCAAGACCAAAGTTCACGAGAGCTAACCGCACCGCTCCAAACACCCTGCTCCACAGAAGCTCCACAGAACAGTGGGAAGGATCCTAATTAAAGCAAATTGCTTCCCAATCATACCAAATTAATGCTGCCCTGAGACGCTTTCAGAGAAAAGAATTTATTATATTTACTGGAAGTGCCAAAAGGTATTTGGACAGACTATTCAGCCTTCAGGATAATGAGAGAGACAGTCTTCAGAATTCTGTTAGGGATTTCTTCAAGAATTTCCTTAGAATTAAGGGCCCTTTTCAGCTTTAATTATGATTCGGTTTATCAGCAAAAGTGCTTAAGTTCAAATGATTCTTACCGTGGAAAATACAGCTAGATGAAGAAAGTCATTCCTGATGGTGCCTGATACCTCTCGATACATTTTCAGTCTCTGTTCTCTACATTCCTCGAACTAGCACTTAGAGCAAATGAAAGGGTTCTGGTAATGGTTTCAAGGCCTCAGGAGAATCTTGGCTGAGAGCAGATAGACCAGAGCAGAAAGCCTTTCCTGAGAAGGAGTGGTGAATACAGTCAGGTGAATAATTAATGCAAGCAACATCTGAGAAAGGGTAGGAAGTCAATGCCACATCAACAGCAGGAATCCCAGAGAAGGTGTGGGAAACCCATCACAGACCCAACTGGCACCTCCATGAGTCTCTCCAGGACCCCCGTGGCTACAGAGTGTCTGAAGAGTGCACCATCTGGTTCTCCACTGAGAAACTGCAAGTGTGCATTAGTGCCTGTGTGCTCCCGGTTCCTGCCAACAGGCCCACTGTGTTTGACCACAACAGGTGCTCCAGAAATACCTACTTAGTGTTTACTCTGCAGGGAATGAAAAGAGTCCTTCAGTTCAAGGATAGCAGAAACTCTGTGGTTTCCAGGGAAAGACTTGCTATGTTTCAGGTTGGTAGTGGGCATTGCCTTTTGACTGCTATTCATTCTTTTACTGATTTATTTGCTTGGTGCTAACCTCTGTGACTTGGCCTGGTTGTGAACAGAATCTAGAGCCTGGGGTTGTATTAAGCTGGTCAAGCATGAAATTATAGCGTGTTAGCTGCTGGCAATGCACAAGGATGCACAGGAGACTAAGAATGACCCAACAGTACCGGGGACTTCCAACATGGATTTTATTATTCTGTTTACAGTGTCACCGTACAACAAGTTTACATTTTGTATCCTCAATGCTTTTGAGATTTCAACTTTGTAATAGTCTTTGCGTTTTAATCACGTTGGTTAACAAACACCCTTTGGGGGCTATGGTTGTGGATAGCACAGCCCACCATTTAGTCAGCACCATCCTTTTCCAGCATTTGTCACTTGGGAGTGCTATTAATAATTAGAAGAAACAGTGACTTGAGCAACAGTTGTTAACAGGAAGCCAGGGATCAGAGCCGAAGGCAGCCAGGCACAGCTTTGCAGCAGGGAAGAAAACCATCACTGTATCTGTGATCAAGAGAACTCCAGAGAACAGCCCAGCAGTCTGCTCTCACTAACTATTGTTCACCAGATACGCACCTTCTTAAATGATGTGGCAATGTGGTGTGAGGGAAGGATCTGGAGAGTAATTTATTCACACTAAGAAGCAGAGTAGGTGTCAGTGCAGAAGGGGGTGGGGCGTGATGGAGAGACCAAAAGGGAAAGGTTTGCCAACCACCAGTTGAGAAGTAAGCAGCCTGCAGCCAAGCAGAGAAACCCCCAGTCCCAGTCCTGAGCTGCCCAGGTGAGTGAGCGAGCTGGAAGCTGCGGTTCTTCTCCTCAGCTTCTCACTTCACAGGAAGCTGTGCAAATTGCAATTAATTACCCAAGAAAAGGATGCCAGACAATGCGTACTAGCAGAGGAGGCTGGAGGGTCCCTCTCCAAGGAATGTCCACATCAGGAGTGCGTGCTAATGAGGAGACTGAGACAGGGTAACATGGAATTCCTGGGGACTCACAAATAATTATTGGCTACGACTGAGGAGAAAAACCATTGGTAGTAGCATAAGCAAACCAAAATACCATGCCTCGGGCTGTCAGCTGACAGGGTGTTCTGCAGGGTAGGCATCAATAAGATTTAAATATGGCATCTGAAGGATCCCAGATTTCTCAACTGCTTCTTGTCTATAATTCACCAGCAAACTAGCAAAGCTCGACAGAGCAGCTGAGGCAGGCTGTCTGCAAGCTTTTCTCTCAGGCTGTAGAGGGTACTGACATGTACCTCGCAGAATGTGAATTGTAGAAGCAGGATCTGAACCCCTGGCTCTTTCACTTAACACCTGAGGGACTTGAGTAAGCTGTGTTTTCAAATCTCTAGTTTCAATTAATTAAAATGGGAGCCATGTACCTTCACCATGGGGCAGTGTGGCACACTAGGCTACTCATAATTCACTTATGTGATCCTCAGGCTGCGCAGGGTTGTTTTTAGCATAAAAATTGCCCATCCGTTCGGATCCTTTTCCTCTGTCCAGTAGCTCTGTCTAAACCTCTTACGGCCATAGGGTACAGCCAGCTGTGTCATTATTTTAAACAGATTATTTTAAGATGTGTGCATGTGTGTCCCAAGACCTGCGTATCCGTCTGATTTAGGTAGATATATGATTTAATTGAGCTGACTAGTGGCCATCTTGTTCACTCCTCCTCTTTCTCCTGCTCTCTCTTCTTCCTCCCTGGGATTCACAGAGGTGTTTTGAAATACCCCATCTGCTTATTAATCTGACATAGAATAACATAAAGACCAAATTGGGTCCAAGCAGTTATCAATGACTTCCTGTTGGAGTCGCAAGCTTTGTGCGAATGGAAACATTACAAAAAGAAGAGTCCAGTTTTACTTACAACAAAGGATCTTAAAATGGACTTAGGCCTGGCCAGGTGACAGCCATAACCCTGACATTGCAACCAACACAAGTGCTTTTTTCTTTCTTAAAACTCCTGAGGTCTGCAGATAGGGAACCTGGTGGTTCAGTGAAGTGTGATACCACACATACACACACACACACACACAATTAATTATTTTTAAAAGGAGTTTTGGTTTATTACATATTACTCTCGCGTTTAAAAAATCATTTAAATGGTGTTCAAGGATCCTTCCCTTCTTCATTTACCCTCGAGGACAGGTCATCTGGAACCATGTGACTTTGCATCTGGAAGACATGACTGGTTGCGTGGTGATTCTGACGTTCGCAGCTGCTCCTGCACTGACAGAGAAAGCATGGGTCAGGAAAAAATGATGTTAGAGGCCAAAGCCACCATAGGCTGTGGTGGCCCTCCCATTCTGTAGCTTCCAAGAGCCTTTCTTGGGTTCACAGTGCCGCCTCTCAGGGCTTTCAGAGAAGGACAGTTCCAGCTGCCTGAGCACATGCTTAGCGTTCAGTTTGTCTTACATTTAACCACTAGGGTTCAGGCTGTCTAGAGGTAGTGCCAAGAGGCCTGTATTGCTTAACCTGTGCCAGGGGGTTTCTGCTATAAAATCTACCAGAAAGCCCCGGAAAAATCCAGACCCTAGGAAGAGGGTGACTTGACACATTCAGGCAAAGCCTACCTGGACTACAGGCTTTGTGAATGACCAGATCAAGTAAATCAGTCGTTCTCAACCTGTGGACCATGACCCCTATGGAGGCAAAGGACCTTTTCACAGGAGTCAAATATCAGATACCCTGAAGATGAGATATTTACATTACAATTCATAACAGTAGCAAAACTAGAGTTATGAAGTAGCAACGGAAATAATTTTACTGTGGAGGAGGGGGGTCACCACAATATGATGAACCGTATTAAAGGGTCAGAGTGTAGGAAGGTTGAGAACCACTGAGGTAAATGAATAGGCAAGGGGAGGGTTTCTTAAAGCACGCTTCCCACTGGGTGTGAGCTGGTTGCTCCCAGTGGCTCCAGCTCTGTGTTCTCAGAGTACTGTACTGACCTCCTTTTCCTGAGCTCAGTCTCTCACATAGCTTCCAGGAACAAGTGTCTCCCCAGGTCCTCTGTCCATTGTTTCAGTTGGGTTGTTTATTTCTGCTGTCCGTTTGTGAGAATTCTTTATATGCCCGCAATACTAGCTCTGAGAGTTTACAAGTGTTTTCTCCCATTCTGTAGGTGGTTTTTCCATTTTGTTGATTGTTTCATGTACTGTGAATTTTATGATTTGATACCACATAGTTGGTCTGTTTTTCCTTTTATTGCTCTTGATGTCATAGCAGAATATAGTTTCCAAGCCCAATGTCTCAAAGCCTTCCCTCTTTGTTTTCTTCCTCAAGTTTTCTACTTTTAGACCTTCATCATTTTCAGTTTGCTTTTCTTTACAATATAAGGTAAGGTTCCAACTTCACTGTTTTATATAGATTCTCAGTTTTCCAAAGTCATTTGTTGGAGAAATTGTCCATTCCACATTATATGTTCCTGGTACCTCATGGAAAATAATCTGACAATGTACCCAAGAATATATAATATATATATGTATATGCATATATATATATTCTGATCTCTTTACTGCCATGATCCATATTTCTGTCTTATGGCAGTCACACACTGTTTTGATCATTATAGCTTTGTAATATGTCTTTATCATCCATGTTTTGATTACTTGAGAGCCCTTCTGATTATGTATAAATGATAGATTTTTTTATTTTGTTTTGTTTTTTTCTAAAGAGCCCCCTTGGAAGTTTAATGAGAACGCTACTGAATTTGATAGATCACTTTGTAGTATGAACATTTGAGCAGAGTCAGCTGGTCACTTGGCTCAGTAGGAAAAGACACCTGCTGCCAAGCATGATGGCCAGAGGTTCCATCCCAAGGTCCACTTGGAGGAAGGAGAAAACCAGCTCCTGAAAGCTGTCCTCTGACCTTGACACAGGAGGATGGCATGCATGGAATAAACAAACAAACAAATAAGAAAATAAATAGATGATAGATGAAGATAGATAGATAGATAGATAGATAGATAGATAGATAGATAGATGATAGATGTAGTAAAATGAAAAGACAATGAAATGAGGAGAGGGACACATCAAGAAGTTCATGTCACATGTCTTCTTTGACTGCTCATATGTGAGCACTTAACAATCAGGCAGCACTTACAAATTTGTCTAGTCTAGCCAGGCAGTTTTTTCCAGAGACCCCCATCTCTGCTCCTCAAGAGATGGAATTATAGGTAGGCCACCTCATCTGCTGGCCATTTACACAGGCACCAACTACCAGAACCCTGGTCCTCACACTTCTAAACCATCTCCTGGGTCCCCTTTTGTTGTTTACATTTTTTTGCTTTTTACATTTATTTATTCACTTCCACAATACTTTCTTCTCCTACATGGTAGCAAGATGTCTCCCAATTACTTGTGTCTGCTTTCATTCTGTTCTTGGTCATTCCCTGTGTTTATTCCTAATGTGTTTATTCTCTTCAAACCTTTTATTAACGGGACTGAGTTCTTAATTTCCTTTCTGTCTTACTTACTATTGATGTATGGAAAGTTAACTAATTCTTTCATGTAGGTTTGGTGTGGTGTACCTTTCTGATTTAATGGTTAGTTTGAACAGTATTTTGTGGATTTTTTTATTTAAGATTTTCAGTGTGTAAAAGTTGATCATTTTATTACTTCTTTTCAAGACAAATCACTTTTATTTCTTTTTATTCTTACTTAATTGACCTGGCTAGACCTTTCCATTGTTACCCTGTTAAATGTAAGTGGCACAAGTAAGCAGGCTTGCCTTAATCCTGAAAACTTGTTTGGTTTTACACATGAGGTTGTTTATGGACTTTTCTGAAATGCATAGCCTCCTGTGCTGCTAGCCCCAGGCTAGCAAATCTTTTTATGTAACTTATAATTATGTAAATCTCAGGATGCCATTGTGAATTAATATGTGAGTTACAGTATTGTTGTGACCTCAAGAGGTTTTGCCTTCTAAAGAAAATGGCTTGGGTTACTTCCTAACAGAGCCATTGTTACCATGTCCTTTGTCTGTGACTGTCACACATAGAACTGCTTCAATCCACACAAACATTAGGAGTAGGTATCACAATCCATCCCACTTCATAGAAGAGAACACTGAGACCTGATGTCACAGAGAAAGTCAAGGAGCAAACTGGACTGTGAACCAAACTCGTCAGCCTCAAGAGGATGCTGGCTCTCTCTATGAGAAATCCCAGTTCTCAGTGTGGATCATGTCTGGATTGCTGTGCCATCTATGACTTTTCAGCATGTTGGCTCCAAACCACATTTACTAATGATGTTTCCTGAAACATGGTAACCAAGACTATTAATTCAGCAATCGCATCTTTACACCAGCAGCCTGCTGGTTGTGGTAAAAGATCCATGCGTGGCCTGGACCTCACCTGAGAGTCAAGTCTGTGATCTACATGATGACTATGTTCATGTCAGTTTTTGAGAACATGTACGGGATCAAGATTGAATTCCCAGATGATTAAATTAATAAATTCAACTGATTGACATACACAGATACTTTTTCCCAGAGGTTTCCCCTCTCCAGGGCAGTGTGTCTCACAGCAACTGTAACAAATTATTTCTTTAATATAGAACCAATGAGAAGTGATGGGAGGGAACACTGCTTCTCCCCTGCTTTCTTTTCTTCCTGTAACATCTGCTAAGGTCCTCTCCCCCACTGTGGAATCTTGGAAAGAGCCCAGCTGGAAGGGTTGGGTTCTCTTCCCCATGATAATTTTAGAAGCAGAAGCTAAGGAAATGCATGGAGTTTGGTCAAGAGAGTGAATGATAAAAAATATGATAAATGCCCCTTGCTAGAGTCCTTTGTTAGGGCTTGGTATGATCTGATGACTGAAGGCAGCTTATTCGGAGTTCCGAGTTCAGAACTTGGAGCTCTGCTGTGTGACACACTTCTAACATCCTTCATCACTATCCAGCCATGAAGCACTCTAGCTATGGACTCAGGTAAGGAAGCAGCCTGTGGTCTTATACATGGGATCCAATTAGATGCACATCTTAGGTGACGGCTATTTGAGTACAGACTCCAGATGCTTCCGAAAGAGTAAGAACCCAGCATGTACAGGGAATATGCTAGCTACCAACAATGTCCTACTTATCAATTCTGATAATTTGGCAGCCATGGAGGATTATTTGGTTGATAAGTGACATCTGGCAAAACAAATCAAATTTTATAGACATCTGTGAAAGGCTAAACAAAGTGTCTTTGATGTGAGTGTACTTTCCTTTTGTCCAGCAGAGAAAACATACATCTCAGGAGTGTGGTGTAGTGTGCGCACTGGATCTGAGACAGTCAGGAAACATTGTGAAAGCACTAGATGGCAACAATGATTGGTCCAACCCTAAAAGAGATGCTCACATAGCCCATCGGTCTTCCCCACAATATGACACTTAGTTGGCCATTGTAACTAATGTCAATTTCCCTATGAACTTGGGTAAGTTAACTCAGTGTCTCCGGGTCTCCAAGCTTTGGCTACTTCATCTGTTTACTGGGAATAATAAATATATACTCATAGGGCAAATGTGAGAAAGTAAATGAAATCACATACCTATATACAAGTCAGTAGGCACACGGTTAGATAAGCACCAAAACATTTGTTTCTAGTATCCCCCCAATCTTGGCAAATCCTCCCTCATCTTTTCAACTCATTCTTTCCCATCTTTGAGTCTATGCTGAAGGAGGTAAAACTTCCATTAAGTACCTACATAAATAAATGTTGTCATGAAGAGAGAACAACAAAAAATAGATTGCAATGCTTGAGCACACAGAACCACCTGGCTTGGGTTTTATTTAGAATAAATCGGGATGTGTTAGCCTGTGGTGGGACCCTGGTTTGGTGTTTTTAAAAGCATCCTAGGGGGTTCAAAGTGCATCCAAGCTGAGAAACGATGGCTCAAGCCAGCAGTTTCCTTCTATTTCCCAGTGTGCTAATTCCAGTAAGTTGGTTGTGGCTTCTCAAAAATCTAGTGTGTAAGATTCTAGAAGTAGGCCTGACAAGAAAGGTCACCATTAGGTGAAGAGTCTGCTTCTTCCAGCATAGACAGTGAGGCCATCACTTAAGACAGCTGAAGAGCTTGCATGAGTTACTTGCTTTCAGCCAAAGGCTACATCCACCATCAGTTTCTTATTGTTCCTACCAGGCAGAAAGCCTGAGTTCCATGCCTTCACCTACTACTGCCAGCTCCTTGCTACAGTGGCCCTGCTCTTTCTTCCTCCCACTAACCCCTAACTCCTATTCC